TTATTGCTATTGGGTGGCTGGCGCACTACAAATAATGAATGCAATGGAATCAGGCCGACCACAAAAGACTGTCACAAATGGTGCAATCAAATGTTTAAAATCAAATCAAAATTCGGACCTGTTTTTAAATTGGTGTTGTGATTAGATCTCAGGTAATAAGATGACGGCAGCAAACCTGGCAGTGATCTTTGGGCCCAATCTCCTTCAGAAAGAGAGAGGATCAGAGAGAGAGCTCAGCCCTCAAGCTCTGGGCATAGAAGACAGCACTGCTGTCATCTCCGTCACCCTGATGCTCATCCAGAACCACCAACATCTCTTCACGGTGAGAGCTGCGGAATGATAGACACTAGAGAGTGAAAACCATTCAATGAAAAGGTCATTTAAAAAAAAATTTAAAATGATATTCCAAACACTTAAGACTTTCTTTTGTCTATATGGAGCACAAAAGGAGAAATGTTGAACCTTGTTTCTCTGCTCTTTTCCATGCTATGGAGACTGAAGCTTTCACATTTAAAAGGCCACCAGCACACAGTTTCTTCTTTTGTGTTCCATGTAAGAAAGTCATGTGTGTAAATGAGGAAAGAATTTTCATTTCTGGATAAACTAGTTATTTTTTGGGGAAAAAACAATGGATAAAATCTTAGGCCTGCTTATGATACATATATTATAACTTTGTATGCACAGAGCTTGAAAGATGACTTTGTTAAATTCTTTCCATTAAGTATTCATATTCTAATAGAGGGAGCATTAGCTGAGTGAGTGCTTTTATTTCATCTGCAGGTGTCTGCTGAGCTGCAGCAGGAGGTGCTCATGAGCCTCATTCAGACAGACCCTGATGTCATTGACTATCTGCTGCGCAGGAAACTCAGGTCGGCTTTCTGACTGATAATACTCATCTAATACAAGAATCATATATAACGAATATGTGGGAATATGGGATTTTATTTGAAAAGTGAGACACTCAGATTTTCTCCAAAGGTGATTTTTTTCTTCAATTGTAACTTTTAAAGACACAAGATTGTTACGTAATTGCCATCGGTGTGCATTATTTTTGTTTAACTGTGGAATTCTTCGTGGAAAAACCATATTACCCTTGATTCTACAAATCTCCACCAGTTGGACAAGCAAATCACTTCAAAATAGCTTCTTTGTGCCCACCCACTCCCATGAAACACTGCACTTATAAAGTTGCTGAATACTGTTTCCAAGTCCAAGCCTCCACTATCTCGACAGCTGTTTATGAGCACAATTCATTTATAGCACAGCTTTGAAATAAGCTTTTAAAAAGTCACGGCACTACAATCTCAGGATCACGGCTTCCCGTACACCAATATTTTTATGATTCATAAAAGATGAACCAATGTCTAAACAAATTACATTTTGTTATGGGGATAAAGTTTAGGATCATGATTTTGTGGCAAGCATATATATATGCATAAATATTTGTTAGACATATACTATATACATATGCATATTTTACAATGAATGTAAAATATACGGTTTCAATAATGTAATTTAACCTTAAGAATTTTAGATACAATTGCATTCTTTATCTTTGTCTATTCAAAGACACTTTAAAAAGGGTTATGTTTACATGTTTAATGGGTTAATTACCCTAAATTAAAGGCTGCCATTTTAATTAACCTCATGTTTAATGTGCCTGATTACAGAGGCGAAACCACAATAATTGCTACTGTCCAAACACTAATATGCATCTCTCCATTGTGACAGCAGTAGTAGCAGCCTGAAGATGGAGACGGACTCCGGTGGAAGGAGGGACACACAGGCATCTCTGCACTCTGTGGGTCAGTCCAGTGATGACCTTTCATCCCTGGAGCCACTGTGTCCTCTTTACCCACAGACATCTGCGATAGGAAGTCTGAGCAGTGAGGTCTTCCTCAATGTTCTTCATCTTAACACCAACAGGAAACGTGAGTAGTACAGCGTTCTTCACAATGATGCAGTAGTTAGACTAGTAATAATATATATTACCTGCTTTTTAGAGATGTAATTATGTAATTATATCTCCTCTACGATTTGAAAATTGAGGTCGATAAGATGTTTTATGCTTTTATGCTCACTGAGGCTGCATTTCTCTGATGGAATAACAGTGATACTGTGAAATATTACAATTTAAAATAGACGTTTTTTTAATTTTATTATATTTAACGTCATTTATTCCTGTGAATTTTCAGCAGGCATTATTCCAGTCTTCAGTGTCACATGATCCTTCAGAAATCATTCTTATATACTGATTTGGTGCTCAAGAAGCATTCTTTTTATCATTGCCAAATGCCAATGTTGAAAACAGCTATGTTGCTTAAAGGGTTAGTTCACCCAAAAATTCTGTCATTAATTACGCACCCTCATGTCATTCCAAACCTCTAAGACCTTCGTTCATCTTCTGAACACAAATGAAGATATTTTTGATGAAATCCGAGAGCTTTCTGACCCTCCATAGACAGCAATGGGAATTACCATGTTCAAGTCCCAAAAGGTAGTAAGGACAGCATTAAAAATGGTCCATGTGACATCAGTGGTTCAAACTTAAAGGGGTCATCGGATGCAAAATTCACTTTTACATGTTGTTTGAACATAAATGTGTGTTGGCAGTGTTCGTACACATCCACCCTATAATGATAAAAATCAACTCAGTGTTTTTTGTAAATGCCTATAAATATCCCTTCTCAAATCAAGCCGTTCTCAGCTTCTTGGCTGTGTGATGTCACACAGACCCAGGCCCCTCCCATGATTGTTGATTGACATTAGCGTTTTACCTTGGACCCGCCCTGAGTGAGCTGTCATCAGTCCACCATTGTTTCACCGCCGGAGCAGTGGTAGACAAGAATGGCTCTTTAGAGACTGAGGTGTTTTGTTGTTGGATGTAATAAGGAACATAGCAGTCGTCATTTACTCTTGACATCTGAGCCGCTGAAGACACAGTGGATTACTTTTGTTTTTGAAGGGAATGCACACTTTTTTTTTCAGGATTCTTTGATGAATAGAACCAAAAGAACACCATTTATTTGAAATAGAAACCTTTTGTAGCATTATAAATGCCTTTACTGTCACTTTCAATTATCAATTCACAGCAACATGTGTAAATATGTGTAAATAAATGCAACCTTTTATTATATGTATATTCCGTACATGTGTGTGTGTCTACAACAGGTTCCTCTGAGGTCCCACCCAAATCCATTGGTAAAATGAGACAGTTTCATTCCCACCACAACCTGATGAGTCTGTCCCAGTCCTCCTCATATGCCCAGAGTGAAGAGCGAGAGCTCCAGGAGCAGAGGCAAGGCAGTTCAAGGCACACATGCTCAGAGGAGCGCCTACATTTCAGTCTGGGACGGCAGGACAGCGGTTCTCAACCACAGAGTCCTAGAGAGAGAGGCATCTGGGTACGACAGAGCTCCAACGCCTCGTCCACGATGTCAGATGACAGCAAACCGCCAAGCAACTTCTGGGACTTTTTCACTGGCAAGGTGTCAGGCTCAGAGACTATAGTTTGACTCCTAGGTGAACAGTTGTAGTGTGGGGGTTGAGTGTGGACCCGTAAAATTGTAGAGAGAGAACTGGCAGTAGATACACACACAGAAATAATGTATCTGTGGATGCTATACTGTTTATATAATATAATCTTAAATAACCCCACTCCTCTAGAACAAGACGGTTTTTCAGAACACATTAGATTATCAAAAGAATCATTATAAACCTGCCAGAACAGTGTATTTTATCAAGATACAGACCTGTGACTATAGAATGTAAATATAGCATAAACTGTTATAAACCTCTCTAAATAGAAAGCAGCTTTTATATATACATGAATCCTCAACATGAACTCAGCGGGCACTGAAAATGTCAAAATAGTCCACATTTCAAAGGCTGAAATCTCTTATATTTGTTTACATTAGCATTGAAGCTTTCTGAAGTTCCCCATCTGGCTATTTTTATGATATAGTGGCAGCTGGCTGAGGCTTGGTATTTACCATTACAGAATATTTTACATATAGTAACGCATTATATTTTTTAAATAAAGTGTTTATATTACATCTTTTTATCTGGACTAAATGAATTTGTACCCTTAAATGTTGTACATGTTGCTTTTCAGATACCTGTTGTCAGAAGAAGCCCTTCGCTGCAAAACTTCTTCAACGACCATTCACAGTCTGAAAAAAATTAAGTGAAATGGAAGATGTTTTTGGAAGAATAAGATATTTTGATAACTTGGAGTACATGCTCTGAACTCATGGCATCCCTGAGCCACAAGGGGGTGATATTTACTGGTGTCAACATTACATTGACATTAAAGTTGAAGTTAAATAGATCCTGTCTAAATATTTGAATTACCTCTATAAATGCTGGACTCTGTTGGGATTGGTTAAAAAGCAGGATTTCCTTCAATAAGAATTAAACTATTCAGAGAGAGCACTGCCATTTCTAGTGGCAGAAAGTACAAAATATCTATTGATTGAGTTGGAGCCAGGCCTTCTTTGAGCACAAGCTGAAGATCAAGGTAGTTTCTCTACTCATTTCCAATACATCATTTTTTTACTTTATTTTTATCATGATTTTATCTAATCATTTTTAAATAATCTTCAAAGTATGTAATCATTTTAAACGTGCATTCAGTACTACTTTGTCTAGCATTAGCTAAGCTTCACTACTTTTAAATACTGATAATGTTACCACAATGGTGTTACACAATGCACTGCCATTTATCAATGTGGATCACCATGATCGTCTCGACGATACAAGTGAGTTTTACAGAGCGCTCTACATAATTATTCATTCCCTTATCTGCCCAACAAAAGAGAAGCAACTTGAGAAGGGGTACACTTTCATCAAAAGAGAACATTCAAAAGAGAAGGGGTACACTTTCATCCAATAATTGTGATGACTGTAATGTTCCAGAAAATGTGGAGCATATCATTATGAGGTGTAAAAAATATAATGCAGAAAGGAGGATCTTGCAAGATAAGATATATGAGTTGGAACAAGAATGGAGTTTGAAGGGGATTTTGGGGGCAGATGAGAAAATGTGGGAATGTAGCAAGGCTCTCTTTAATTTTCTTAAAGATACAGGGTTAGAGCACAGCATATAGGAAATGGGAATTTTTTTTATTTATTTTTTTTATAACCATGCTAAGTACATGAAGCCCTGAAGTTGCACACCCCGGTACAGTAGGTGGCGGTATGCACCTGAACAAGTTGGTTGCGACCCGCCAATAAAACCAGAGAGAGAGAGAGAGAGAGAAGTACAAACCAAGGATTTGCAAAGAAAAAGAGGATTTCGATATAAACCAAGAGGAGACTGGTTTTCCTTTGCTAAAGTAAGGAAACTTTGCTTCCTTTGCTCCTGTTAACAAACTCACGAGACTAGCACATCTCAGAGGCCCGCGCGCTGCACATACGGCTTCCGCATATGACAGATACCCGGAAGTGAGAGAAAAGTGTTTATTACGTTTGAAATATGGATATTTTTCTTACAAAGACGCATGGATTCACTACAGGAGGTCTTTATTCACCCCCCGGAGCCGTGTGAGGCACGTTTTGTTATGGAAGCGTGCGCTTTATTTGACGACTTGTGGACTTTTCAACTGCAACACCCGGTGATGCAATGATAGAGCTTGGAATAGCCAGGACAATTTTTTATATAATTCCGACTGGATTCGTCTTAAAGAACAAAGTCATATACACCTAGGATGCCTCGAGGGTGAGTAAAACACAAGCTAATTTTCATTTTTGGGTGAACTAACCCTTTAAGGTCTACACCTACCCCAACCCTAAGTTTACAATAATGCAAATACAGTCATTAATTGTTCAAAAATGATGCAATATTGATGTGCACATGTCCAGTAAGCCCAACTGGTGATAGCTGTACCCCCTCCTTTAATTTTTTCTTTTTTTTTGAGAAAAGGTTCAGTCTTATGTGCATGTACAGCATTAGAATGACCACAAACAAACACTCACACACGCAAAAGTTTTTAAATTAACATCAAACTACTGAATGCACCTTGCCATGACGTTTTCAGTCTCTAAACAGTGAAGCATGAACGTTACTAAACAGGACCAGCTTGTTATTTACTTCAGGCGTTTGCAAATTATATTTTTGTGAAAATGTACCTTCTAGAAAGTTGTTCCATGATGGCACAAGCTATGATTGCTGCAAACCACATGGGTGTTGCCCAGTTTATTGACATCATAAAGAAACGGAGACCATATGAACCCCCTGGAAATGGTTGATGTGTTTTTGTTTGTTTTTATTTGGGACAGGGTGATCCAGTCCCATCTTTCATCCACGCTGTCCACTCCACTCCAAAACCAGATTATTTACCTGGTTTACAATTTGTACATTGCTTTATCGAAAGTGCACTTTTTTTTCAAGCCCAGTATGGAATAAACATTATTACAATGTTATGGGAAGGGGCGGATGAAACACAACTAACGTTAGCATGACGTAGCATTAGCTTGTGTTTGTCTCATGTTTTGATGTATTTTATGTCTGTCTGCTAATGCCAAAACACTCAGGGTGCCTTACTGTGATCAGTGCATTAACTGATTCTCAAGATTGCAGCATTAATCTGGTAATTCCAACATTATCACCCTTACATTTTTGTTTCAACTCTCTCTTCACATAACATACAACAGACCTGGTGTCCAAATAAGGAACAAATTAGCAAATGTATAAAAATGAGAATGTCAAAGAAAAGTTAATATAACATTTATAATTACACAAATAAAATCATGAAATAAAAGAGCCCAAATAAAAGAAGCATTCCTTCCCCCGTAACTATTAGATCACAAGCCAATTTCAAAAATAAAATATCCAGTTAACTCAGCTTGGACAAGCCTTAATTCAACTGTGATGATGACAACACATCTACAAACACTCTTACATAGCATGTGTAAATGTGTAATTTACATGGCATGGCACCATATGTCAGTTTATTTCAACATATAGCTCAGTCTACTTAAGACACTCAATGCCAGCAGGTTAACTGACCAGCGAGAAGCTTAAACCTCTTTATAGACATTGTGCTGTCTTGTTTATAAGACCTTTATACATGCTTTATAACAATGTCAAGAGTTGTTATACCACACATGCATTGATACCAAGTAGACTTTACAGGATGAATGGAATAATAATCAGCAGCACTGTCAGTTTTGACCCCTCACAGATTAAAGCGCATTTTTGTCAAACCAACAATCAAATAAAACCAGTGTAGTTTACAAAGGAAACCTGAAATGAAAAAAAAAAACGACCACCTTTTCCATTTTTGTCAAAACTATTGGGTTGGGAGAGAAGTAGATTAGGACAACAGGCTAGGCAACTGTGTGTTTGAAACTCTTTCAAGCAAAACTGGAATATTTTACTGCGGTACCTCGCTATCATGTGCTTTTCGCCTTACAAGACCTCAATACCTAATTCTTGTTGGGTGTGTTTTTTTCTTTTGCATATAAATCTTGACTAATTGCAGGGTGGTCTAGTTGTCTTGTAAATATTTACTAGCTATGAGTGAACTGGGAGAAGTGGCTCATCCTTCTGGCCGTGCAACATCACAAACTAGAAACAATCCTTTACTGAGTCCCCTTAACCAATCTAACTATTACTAAGCCAAGTCACAGCTTAAACCCGACATTTACAGACAGATCCAAGACTGCACTTCGGCATTGGCTGTGCTTCACTTCCCATCTAGGTCTATACTGAGTTCAAACGTTATTAATTAAGAGGGCAGAGGAGACGATAAGAGATCTAGAGAAGAGTTACTGAGATTAAACAGAATAGATGCAGCCCATTCAATCGGCTTAATGAATCAGGAGACTTTATAATGGAGTGCAGAGCCACATTATGTTTGAATTATCCAACATTTCTACTGTTTAATGGCTAAACTGAATGAGTCCACATTCATTTCAGACAATCTCACAGCGCCACAGTGTTAATAAAACATGACTGGAAATGTGTGCAGCTTTTGGTTTCAATACGATAGGCATTTATGAGCTTTAACTTATATTCAGAATAATATAAAGCCCTAATTTCTATCTCCATCTGTTACGCTTTACAGTTAGTGCACTATTAAGTGTGCACTATATGACACAATCAAGCTGTACACTCACTTGCAGTGCACAAGAACTGGCAGAATGTTTTACATTCATTGAATACTGAAAGAGCATTCTTAAGCCAAGCTACATCCGTAATACAAGCACTACTCTGGTATCCACAATCCTCTCTGCTTAAAAGAGCAGAGCACCCATCAATCCACAGGCCCTACATGAAATCACTTGTCAAGTTCTCGACACAAAATATGCTCATCCCCTTTAAGCCAATTTAAACCTGGTCAGGTTTATCCATTCAGGTGGAGCAGCTCTACTACAATGGCAACATGAGCTACTGGTTCGGCATACAACACATTTATAACTAGCTGGTTAACGTGGATGTAGCATGATGTGTCACGCTTGACACTGCAGATGAACATCTGAGGGTGAAGAACCGCCATGCGGCTTTCTGGACTGATCGTGACATTGTGCCAAAGCACAAATCATGACACACCACCCAGCGAATGTAAAGTGAACCAGATTATCGAAATGAACCTTGTTACTGTGTCTGGTGGGGGAAAAAAAAGTTTGTACAGTGTCCATTCTCAGGCCATCAAGACGTATGTGTAGCTCATTTCACATGTGTATATGTGCGTTTTTGTGTGTGCTGAGCAACACAAAGCAGGCGAGTGAGACGACGGCGAACCAGACGGCGATTACTTCTGCCTGGTGATTACTGTGTTGTGTCCAGGTCACTCTGGCATCAACTGCTCCTGTCTGGGGCCTGACTGACGCTCTGGTGCAAGCTCCACTGATAAGCCTGGATGAAAAGGGACTTGACTGAGAGGGGATGGAGCAGGAGGCCGAGCTGTGTCAACAAAGCCCAAGCCTCCCTATCTGCCTGATCCTGTCTCTCACAAATCACACCCTCCCATTCTGTCAGTCACTCTTGCCGGCTCAGTCTCTAGACTGGTAGAAGAGTATATACCCTGATTCAGAGTTTTTGGAGATGTCCGATGTCAGACCGTAGAATTCCTCGATCGCTTGGGCGTCTATTTTCTGTGGGGACCAAAAAGAGAAAGAGATACATAACTGGATATAAAGGAAAACGTATTTAAACTGGTGCGCTAATTTCTGACTTCCTTTATGCATGAAAACAAACCTCATTGGTTCTTGCGGAAGCTTAAACATGCTTGCATGACAAATAAGCACATTTGTGCTTCAGTTTATCATATTTTATGTGCACTATGTATGTGCATTAATCAATGTTTATAAGTGAATAAAAGCCTAAATTAAATCTGTTAATCATATAAAGTGATTGTGTCTCTTGAGAAGTCTTGGATTAAATAGCTAGGTTCAAATGGATCACAAGCATCAAAGTTTTCAGTGAACGGATTTTCAACGAAGGGACAGAAATCTCAGATTGCATTAAAATTTTTTTCCTTTGAGTTGCAAAGATGAGGAAAAGTCTTTGATTTGGAACAACATGAGTAACAGGATATTTCAACTAGGGATGCATGATATTATTGGAACGTTATCGGAATCGGCCGATAAAGGCTTAAAATGTAAACATCGGCATCTGCCGATTTTAAAACATTATGCCAATATGCCTTTCCTATAAGACGAATAGCTCACATGTGCTCTGGGTGTGTTAGCGATAAGATCACGTCAACAGTTTCAATGTTTTGGATCACTGCATTTTAATTTGTACATGCAGAATGACGCGTCTGGTGCGGCAGCCTCCCAATGCACGTCTGGTAAGGCATTTCATTTACTTAGGGGGCGCTGTTGGCCAACTTGTAATAGAATGAAAGTAAAATACACAAATAACATTAAGATAATTGTGTTTCTGAATAAAGCAGTAATTGGTGTAATAAAATTAGGAGTCTGTTTTGATTTAAAAGTCAGAAGCTATATGAATACAATCACAAACATGACACTTGTAAATTAGATAATTTAATTTATACAGTTTTATTAAATAGTATGTAATATATTTTTTCA